CCCCCCCATCCCCACCATTACCCCCCTTTAGTTTATGACCATGTGTCTCAAGTCCTTTAGATTCTATATTTCCCATGCTATTCTTGCCCCCCCCTTCTATTTTCTATCTACTGTCTATGCTACTTATTTTCTGTAACTTCTCCCCCCTTCTCGGCATCTGCGGCCAATGTGCGTGCCCGTGCTCATCAACATGGCGGGAACGGGTCATTTTATTCCATGTAAAAGCAACGTCTGGAGCAAAAAGACCAGCCCCCCAGGGGGCCTGCACATCATGTTTTACTCTCATCTTTACTGGGCCCAGAATGGGGTTTCGGGAGGTGTGGGCTGAGGTTGGGAATGACACAGGGGATACATGTGAACGGGAGGGCAAGTCCTTCACTGGAGTGGGAGCAATCCACAGCTGGGGGCTTCAGGCTGCAGGGAAGACCTCTCACCCCCACCCCCTGCTCCTTTTCTCCTCTCCTCCTGCACAGTTGGCCATGGTCCCCAGCTAGACTGGCAGGCTGATGCTTGTTCTTCAAAGTTCAGTTTAAAACTGGACTCTTTAAACTAAACTTCTCTTCTGAGCCCAACTACTGCCTGGGTGGGTTTTCCCAGACCAGCAAATATGCTGCAGAAAGGAAGGGAGAGTCCAAAGTGCGTTCTTTTCTCTCATTGGACCAGGGGGCCTCAGGAGCTGGGCCTCAGAATCTGGGGTTCTCAGCCTCGGCTCCAAGCTGCCGACCCAGGCCTCCTCTGAGCAGTGCCCCACGCCACAGTTCAGTGCCACCCCACCGAAGCCTGAACTATCTTGTCTGCTGTCCAGTTATAAATTAATCTCTTGTCATCAGTGATTAACTTATTCGAGCCACAGGAGCTGCTGAACCGAAGCAGCCCCTTGGGGTGAGAGAGTCCCCAGCTTCGTGCGGCATGTGGATCTGCCTGTGACCCTCATCTCTCTGGCCCCTGTGCTGTGTCAGCAAAGGAGCAGGGACCGGCCGGGGCAGGGGTCCTGCTCTGGGCACTGCTGCTCTGGAATGCTCCCTGGGCTCCCCGAGGTGGAGGTCGGCAAAGCAAAGGTCTAGGGTTTGTTTTCTTAGTGTGTTTGTCTGCAAGGAGGGTTTTAGAAATGGGATTGGGGTGGGTGTATTCTTGGGAGGCATATGCCACCTGAATAAAATATCCTGGGGCTGACATGGAAGAATGGGGAGCCAAATACTGGAATCGGCTGGATGTTGAGGGGACTTAGGGTCATCTCGGGGAGCATCAGACATCACAGGGAAGAGGCCTGGGAGGTCATCAGTTCCAGCTTTCTGTGGACACCAGGGAGGCGGGACTGACTCACTCCAGGGCACACTCTAGAGCCCCTGGGAAGAGGAAGGGCAAGTGTCAGGTTGTGTTCTACGTTGAGTAAATGTTCCTTTCCTCACTGCCAGGGAGATGAGCACCATACAACTCTCTCTGAAAGAAAAGATTCAGTGAATTCTTCCATATACCACATCTACCATTTGAACTTCTTAAAAACAAAATTTCTCTGAAAAAGAAAAATAACCCTGGCAGATTTGGTCTCACTTCTTAGTCCTAGGGCTTCTCATAGAAATTTCGAAGTGATGTCTTTATTTACCTCTGTGGCCATCCCCCCAAAACACATAACCCAGTCTCACCATGAGAAAAACATCAGATAACCCCCAACCGAGGGACATTCTACAAAGAACCTGACCAGTACTCCTCAAAACTGCCAAGGTCATCCAAAGCAAGGGGACTCTGGGAAACTGTGGCAGGTCCGAGGTGATTAAATGCAGTGTGTCCTGGATGGGACCCTGGAACAGGAAAAGACCGTGGCAGAAACACTAGTGCGATCTGAACAAGACAGAGAGTCTGGTTAATAGGAATGCGACCATGCAGGCTCCTGAGCTGGAGGAGATGCGCCCCGCACGGTGTGTGAGATCTGAACAGCGGGGGAAACTGGGTGATGGGCGTCCCAGAATTCTGTACGATCTTAGCCACTTTTCTGTAAATCTAAAACTATTTTAAAATGAAGCATTTATTGTAAAAAAAATTTAAATGTTGTCTTTCAATTTCCTTGGACTGGAACTTTGATCAGATGTTTGATTACGGTGTCCATGGCAAGCGAGGTGTGGAAAAAAAGTGGGCGAGGGGAAGGGGAAGCGGGGAAGACACTGAGGTACGAAACGCAAAAGTGAGTGGAACTGTCCATTTATGTAGCAACCGGCTACTACATGAACCAAATGTGGTGTCCACATATAGTGGAATACTACTGTCCCCAAAAGCAATGAATCGCTGACACACGCTACAACACAGTGGACCTGGGAAATAATATGCTAAGTGAAAGAAGTCAGACACAAAGAGCCACCTGTTGCATGATTCCACTCACGTGAAATGTCTAGAAGGGACAAACCCACAGAACAGAAAGCAGATTGGTGGTTACCAGGGACAGGGGGCTGGGGAGATGGTGGGCACAAGGCTTCATTTGGGGGAGAGTGACGTGTTCTGTTAGTAGAGAGGGTGATAGCTTCACAGCCTTGACTAAAAACCACGGAATCCTCTGCTTTACCAAGGTGCATTTTATGGTGTGAATTGCATAGTAGACTAAAAAAATACAGTAAAATGAAAATGTTAAAAAGTAAACACAACCTAATCTGTTGTGCTGGGGAAACCAGGTGAGTGTAAGCCTTTCCCCTTGTCTGTGAGCCTGGGGTCAGGAGCAGTGATGCTGTTGTTCACCGTTGATTCCCCGGCACCGGGCACAGGGCTTGGTCCCTAAGAGCCTCTCAGGAAATACTCGATGAGTGAAATAATGGGTGTGCTAAGTCCTAAGACAGCTATGGCGTCATGGAAAAGGTATTCAAAAAAATCTAGGGTGTTCAGAAAAATGTGGACAAGATTTACTGTACCGTGACACCATGAAGATTTTCAAAGCCCTGCTGAGTGACTAATCCATGCAATCTTGAGCCTCCAAGCAAAGCCCTGCAAAGGCGCCCCTTTCTAGCCCACTGCCCACCCTACATGCCTTGGGACCCCTTTCCCTTGATCACCCACAAACTCAGAGCTCTGCTCTGCCTGGGAGCCCACAGGCTAGAGCACGGGTGGCAAACACAAGGCCCCAGGGGCCGAACTCGGCCCTCCACCTTGTTTTATCCAGCTCGGGACCTTGTTTCTACCCAGTGGTACGCTGAGCTCCTTGCCCCTAGTTAAGTAGTTATATTTATACAGTTCTAAAATTACATTTGGCCCTTTGAGGGCAACCTTGAGGCTGATGTGACCCCCAGTGAAAATGAGTTTGACAGCCCTGCTCTAGAGAAAGGGGTGTGTGTGCACACCTTCTGACACCGTGTGCTGAGAGCCAGCACAGAGGCGGGCAAAGGAAGCGAGGGTCTGGAGGGAGCAGCTCCCAGGCCTGGGCAGAGGCAGGTCACCAAAGGTTTCCCAGAGGACATCTCTTTTGTCCTCTCATTTTGTCTCATTTCATGCTGAAATGAGTGACATCATTTCAGCACGAGGGAACTCGAATCACAAAGCGTGGACTGGTTCCGAAACACAGCTTCTGGGTTGGTATACTCCCACCTATTTGTTTCCAGTTTGTTTTCTTGTTCCTCCTTCCAAACTGGGGAGGGGGGAGGGGGTCTGCAAAGCCTTGGATACAGGGATACGTCCTTTATGGTGTTTTGCTTTGTTGTGCTTCACAGATGTTGCTTTTTCTTTTCTTTTTTTAACAAATCGCAGGCAAGATTACCACCTGCTTAGCTGTGATGCAGTGGTTGGGAACCAAACCCACACCACTTCCGCCAGGGTGTGACTACACAGCTTGTAATGTCATCACCGCGGCCCCCCGTAAGGCCCCCACGGTGACTCAGCTACTCAAAGGTAAGGACGGTGAAAAAATGAAACCTGGCTTTGGCTTCCGGAACTAGCCAGAAGGAAGTGAATTTTTAAAAGATCTGGTTTCAAGGACCTCAACACGCCGGTGGCTGTGACTGGACACTGAGTGTCAGTGACCTGCAAGGGCCCTGGCAGAGCTCTCCATCACCAGCAGCAGCTTAGAGGGAAGAGAAATGTGCAGAACTAGGCCCTGCAATCTTGGCAGAGAGTCAGAGGAGGAAGAGCAAAGGATCTGGGGTCAGACCAAGTTGGGTGTGAAAAACAGCCCAGCCGCTCGCCCACCGTATCATCCGGGACATGGCTGTGCAAAATCCGGGCCTCGGTTTCCTCGTGGGGACATAGTCCCTGGCCCGCTGGATTGCTCTGAGAATTTTAAAATATACTGCGTGTGAAGCGTTCTGATCGATGTCCGGCAAATAAGAGACTCTTAATAAATGGCAGCTATTATTTTTCACTATTATTATAATTACCGTTATAATGATAATGACACCTTGTAGATTTGGAGGGGATTTGAAAACAAATTTCTGCCCCCGAATTCTCACTTTTCACTTTATCCTAAAAACCTATTCAAAGAGCAAACTGAGTTGTGGGTTTTTATCCTGGCTAAACTGCGGATGGGGTTTCTGTACCATTTCCTAATGAGTATTTGTGATGAAGTCACAGAACCACTGAAGCTGAATTGGAGAACAGAGGCTCCTGTGCCTTTTAGCCTGGTCTAAAAAAGAAAAGAAGGAGCCTACGAAAATAAAACAAAGAGCCTATGCACCTCAGTGGATATGTTGAAGGCGAGAGGTTTTTTTCCCTAAAATAGTTCCAACTTTCAAGTGAAATCTGATTTCGTTGTCCATCTCTTATTTAGTCTTCAGCATAGCATAATGTGCTACTTTAGAGTAACACGACCTAGATGTGTAACACGGTTTAAACTAAAGAAGGAAAAGCAGGCGTGGGAGGGAGGAGGGAGGAAGGACAAAGGGGGAGGGGAAGGCACGGGCACTGGGATTTAAAAAGCACCCAGGTGATTCCAGGGTGCAGCCAGAGGCCCATTGGATGGTGCAAATTCCCCTTGGCACTTAATCCTACACACGCCCTTGGTAAAATAGTGAATAGGAAACACCTGCTTTCTTAGGGCTCCCTGACGGTCTATCTGGGTTTAATACAATTGCCCCAGCCTGACACTTATTGTACTTGATAGATCCTGCTGGGCGCCACGTGCTCCTTGTAAGACAATCGCTGGGAATGCTGGGAACCACGCTGATCAAGGACAAGGCTGTGCATTCCCGCACACCAGTTAACCACCAGTTAACGAGGGAGCCCAAGGCCACAGGCGGGTGAGCGCTGCTCTTAAACACCGGAGGACTCGCAAGGGATTTCAGAGATTCGCTGAACTCTCTAAGCTATTGATCTGATCACAGACACCACATCCAAGGAAGTAAGTTAAAAAAATTTTAAAGACTTTTTGAATATCAAAGCATAGTTGCTTCTCTTCAGTGTTTTCCACAATGCCGTTTGCATGTCGTGTCTCAGAGGCGGTCAGTTCTCGGTTTCCTCCTTGTTCCTGTGACCACTAGATGGCGCGCGTTACAAAACGTTAGCCCTGAAGTGGGGCTGTGTCCCTCACTGTTTACTAGAAGAGAATCAGAGGTAGGGCTGCTAACTTTAGCAAAGAAAATGGGAAGACTCCCAGTTAAATTTGAGTTCCAGATAAACAGATATTGCAAGGGACACACTTATACTAAAAATTACCTGTTGTTTGTCTGAAATTCAAATTTAACTGGTCGTCCTGTATTTTACCCGAGGCCCATAGTCAGACAATGACCTGTTTTTGAAATTTTTGCTCTGTGAGATATCCCGAATTCCTCAGGTCAACACATGGATACACAGAAAAAAGAAAGAGCCTGCATTGTTTCGGATTTTCTTCACAACCTCCAAGGCCTAATGGTTCTAGAGAGGAAGTTCCTTGGGAAGGGAGGGGAAAAGTCAAGAGTGATTGAAGTGAGTCATCCTTACTCCCCTGCCGAGAGGTTCCCACCCAGGGAACTCTGCCCACCTGCTGGGATTCATTCCACACACCTTACTGAGCAACTTCCGTGTGCCAGGTGATGCAGATTAAAATACTACATCGTTTTGCAAGTGAGGAACGGAGACTCTGAGTTCCCAAGATAACATAGCAAGTGATGCAGCTGAGATTTTCATCTAAGTGGTCTGACTACAGAGAAGCCTTTATAGAAACTTGATTAAAACGTGGTCCCTACTCTCAAGATTATAATCTAGAGAGGAGAACAGATAATACAGACAGACAGACAGGCGGGCAGAATGGTACTAGAGGTGAGTAACAGAGAAATCCTGGAGTAAGATCATGGGGACTTAAACCAGTGATGGGTGGGAAGAGAGCACAAGGTTGCCCAGGAAGATTTCCCCAAGATAACAAAGTCTGAATAACCGGGAAGACTCTATGAGGAAAAGGAGGGGAAGCAGAGTTTCCGTGGTGAGAGAGAGCAGCAGGCAGGCTCCCACGTGGCTTTAAAGAGTCTGGAAGCTGATTGGAAGGGAGCGTCCAAGTGCCGGTCCAGAGTGGCGAGAGACAGGCTCAGGCACTGACAAAGGGTCTTTAATATCACAACGAGAGTTAGATTTTATTCTGAAACTTATGGGGAGTCACTTAAAGGATTTTAAATGCAGGGGGTAATCTACAACATTGTGGAAAATGGATTGAGGTGGCACGAGAAGCCATAAAAACACTCAGAACGTCTCCCGAACCTGCTCCAGTCCAGTCCAGGTGTCCCCAGGGAACATGACATCCTCACAGTGGCTGGTGCCTGCCTTGTGTTCCCGCAGTCTCCCAGCTTCCTCTTATCCCCACCTTGTTGGAGTAGGCCGCCTTGCAAAAATGCTAAGAAAAGTCACTTTATAGGTCAAATGTCTGAGTCCTTATGAGCTTGAACTGTCTTTATTCGGCCCTCACTTTCTTGGTCGAGAGAACTTTGGGTCGAAAAGCCTTTTCTCTGAGAACTTTGCAAGCACCGCTCCACCGTCTGTGGTGATGCCCATCTGGCCCTCTTCCCTGTGACCGTGCGTTTGAAGGGATTACGCTGTGCTCCATGTCTTCAGCCCAGCCCTTCCGTTGCACTGGCCTTCTTTTTGTTCCTGGAACGAGGGGAGCTCTCATCCACCTACTCGCTTCCTCTCCCTGAAATTTTCTTGCCCAGCTCCACTCACGGCTCTTTCCTACCCAGCTCTGAGCTCAAATGCCAGCTCTCAGAGAGGCCTTCTCTTACCAACTCAGCCAAACTAACACACTCTAGATATGCCCAGCAATGTTGACTGACTTCACTTAATAATTAAATAGTTGATTCTATGGAGGATTCTGTGGGACTATTTCAGAAAGGGGTTGGTGTGGCTCACACTCACAGTCCTATTCATTTTCAGTTGGTTGTCCCTGTGGAGGGCGGGGGATGAAGCTCCCATCCCTGGCTCATCCAATATGTAAAAATGTATTCAGGTGCCTTGTAAGTCTAAACGTGAGAGCAAAACTAAGAAATATTCTAGGATAAAACAAAATGTCTTCATGACCTTGAAGGGTGGCAGATTCTTTTTTTTTAAATTATTGTATTTTTTTCCATTTCCCCTCCTTACGCTCCCCTGGCTTCCATAGTCCCCACACTGTTGTCCGTGCCCACGAGTCCTTTTTCCTTTCTGCTCAATCCTCCACCCTTTCACCTCCCCCCACAACAGATTCTTAAACAGAACACAAAGGGTATTAACCATGAAAATGAAACAGTAAACCGGACTAGGTAAAAATTTACGTCTATTCATCAAAAGACACCATTAAAAGAGTGAAAAGGCAAATGAGAGCCCTGGCTGGTGTAGCTCAGTGGATTGAGCACGGGCCTGTGAACTACACGATCGCGGTTCGATTCCCAGTCAGGGCACATGCCTGGGTTGCAGGCCAGGTCCCAGCAGGGGACACACGAGAGGCAACCACACATGGATGTTTCTCTCCTTCTCTCCTTCCCTTCCCCTCTAAAGATAAAGAAATAAAAATCTTTAAAAAAAAAAAAGGCAAGTGAGAAAAGATATTTGTAAAATACTATACACAAAAGACTCATTCTTAGGACATTTAAAGAACTTTCACATTTAATAATTAAAAAAAGGAAAATAACCCAGTAGAAGTATAGGCAAAAGACCTGAACAGGGGCTGCACAAGAGAACATATTCAAATGGCTGGCAAACAGGAAAATAATGCTCAATTTCACTATTTATCCAAGACATGCAAAGTGAAACACCATGCAACGCAAATACATAGCCACTGTCTCAGTGTGTGTAAGCTGCTATAACAAAATACTGTCGACCGAGTGGCTTATCAACAACAGAACTTTATTTCTCACAGTTCTGGAGGCTGGGAAGTCCCACAGTCTAGGCACAGATTTGATACCCGGTGAGGCCCCACTGTCTGGTCCATAGACTGTGCGTTCTAGCGGCAACCTCACGTGGTGGAAAGGATCTCTTTGGGGCCTCTTTTATCAGGCCGCTACACCCATTCCTAAGGCTCTGCCCTCATGACCTAATCCCCGCTTTTTTACGTTGTAATAGGCAGTTTGTTAACCTATTGCCTATTTAGCCTTGAGATTCAGACTCTGTCCTTTCTGAGGCTTTAACACTAAAAGATATTGTAAGAAAATCTCACAGTATCAAGTGTCCTGATAACTTCTTCACCAAGGTCTTCCAAGAAAGAGATACCATTAAACTGAACATGATCTACTCATAAGTGAGCAGGAAGAAAATAGATTCGCTGAGAGTTGTCTTTCAGCTCATGGCCTGTAGTTACCCTTGGCTATGAGTCCAGGACAATCTCAATAATCTTCCCTCAAGTCCAAGTTAGCAGAAGAAAGGTAGGAACATAGGAACCAACAGGAAATAAGATAAAGGCCTGGGAGAGATTCCTCCCAAGCTCCTCCTGTTGTGCCTCGAACAACAGAGTCAACACTGCCCTTGGAAAGGTGCAGCAGGACACAGTCTGTGCGCAGCACGGAACAGTGGTTAGAGCTCCTTTAGGAGTGTGGAGCCAGGCTGCCTGGGTTTGAATCCCTGCCCTACCCGCTAAGAGCAACTTCTTTACTGCGCTCCATGCCTAGTTTTTGCAAAGGGCAAGGATAACAGGTCCTGTCTCACAGGACCTGAGCAAGTTAATATATACAACTTTAGAACAGTGTCTGCCCCGCAATAAGCAATCACTGAACATTACTCATAATATGTTTGTTGTTATTGTGAGGAAGGGGCAGTTTTGTGAGTCATCCCTACCTGGCCTGTTGTTTTAGATTGTTCTCAGGTAGAGGCAAGAGAGAAGCATTAAACGGAGGGCTAAAGGGATGGCCAGGCGCCCGGGCCTATGGCTAGGCAATCGCTCTTCTGGGACCGGGTCTGGTTTCAAAGGTTACGACATGGCAAGATCTGATTCGTTACTATCCATGGTGTTGGCCAGAGGCAAATAAACCAGAACACGATTAACTTTTTTAAAAATTAAATTTATTGGGGTAATATTGGTTAATAGCATAACCCTCAGGTACATGACTCTATAATACGTCATCTGTATAGTTCATTGTGTGCTCACCACTCAGTGTCAGGTCTCCTTCCATCACCATATATCTCACCCCCTTCGCTCTCTTCCTCCTGCCCCGCCCTCCCTCCCCTCTGATACCCATGGTGCTGTTGTCTGTGTCTGAGTTGATTTGTTGTGTTTATCGCTTTTTGCTTTATATCCCACATATGGGTGAAATCATGTGGTTCTTCTCCTTCTCCGTCTGACTTGTTTCACTTAGTATGATACTCCGAGATCCATCCATGTCGTCACAACCCATTAACTATTCAAGGACATCATTTTCCCAAAGAAACCTCAAACCTGACTCTCAATGCTCCATGACAGTGATTTCCAGACCTCCACGCTCATGTCAGCAGGAAGAGAGCTGCTACAACTGTGCTGCCCCCGGAAGGGCCCTCTTCTCCGAGGCACACGTCATTTGCTCCATGCAGGACAATGGGCAGGAGAGATTTTCCTGAAGACAACAAGCAGGGGCCACAGAGGGCAGAGGGCAAAGGGAGCCTTCCGGAGGTCAGAAGTGGGGAAGACTTGTACTTGCTTCCAGGGCAGGGTGTCCAGGTGATTTCTGGTAAAAATAGGACATTGGCTAGGGACTGGCGACCATCCGAGTTGTTTCCTGTTCTTTCCTTTTCCAAATGAGAGTTTTTAGTGCAGTCCCTCTGTTCTCTCTCCATTCCTATTTGCTGAGTGCATCAGTGTGATTAAATGTACTACTCGGCCATGATTAAATTTACTACACGGGACCCCAAGAGCTCCATAGCGAAGGGCTAAACATCACACAGAGAACGGGACTGGATGGAACTGTGGCTTGTCTCTTTTGGGAAAAGAGGTTGATTGTAATTATGCAGAGAGTTGGTATTTTTGAAGTTATCCTCGTATTTATAGAGATATAGGTGAGTGTGGGTGTTGGACAATTAAAGGGGGTGGACTGCACTGAACAGGTGTTTTTGCAACTCAGCATCTGCTCACTGTCCTTCTGATGAAATAACTGCCAAATGTGGTTTGGTGGGCCTCAGGGTTCTGCCCCAGATCTGCGGATGGGTCCTGATTTCCTTCAGCCTATCTGCATATCTTATCCCCTGGAAACCTAAGCAGAGCCATTGAAATTTGGCACAAGTGTGAAATTTGGGGAAAAAAGAGTTCCTCGCACCTCTCTCTCCATCTCCCTTTGATGGAAGTTACTGGAAAGCAGACCACCTTTGCTCTGGATGGCATCTTGTTAGGATGTGAGACTGATGGTCGCTGTGGGATTTGGGGAGGAACTGGCTCTTGGTGACGCTGTTTGACTCTAGTCCTCACCTGCATCACTCCCACCGCAGCCCTTTGCAGTTCCGTACCAAGCCAAACTGTCCCCCTGAGGTTTAAGCCAGTTCGAGTTAGGTGCTCCGGCCCGCGGAGCAGTCAACTGGGGCTCGACCACCTACCTAGAACAAATGAGTTGGGGGGACAAGAGGCGCGAAGAATGGCAGCAAGACAAAAGATTCTGATCAAGCTGCAAACTTTATTTTTCCGAACTGGGTATATATAGGGGGGGAGGGAGAGGAAGGAGATTAGGTTGCTTGCTATTGGCTAGCTTGAGACAAAGAAGGGCCCGCTTATTGATTACTTGGGTGCAACTGGTACTCGTGGACACCTCATGTGCCTGTAGCCGATTGGCTTGGGGAGCGCGTGCACACCTCATGTACCTGTAGCCGATTGGCTTGGGGAGCGCATGCACACCTCATTTACCTGTAGCCGATTGGCTTTGTGGAGCGCACAGGTTCCTGTAATCAATGCAATGTTTTTAGCTAGAAGCCAGGTGTAAGGTTCCCAACATCTGCTCCCCTTTTTATTACTTTGAGGGCGAGGAGAATGTAGGTAGGGTAGACTTTAACCGGCTGGGGGAGGCAGAGGCCTGACTCCTCCTGGGCTCATTCTGAGCTTTAGGGTACCTTTGGGAGGAGAGGAGTTGGGTACCAACCTCTTTGCAAGTCAGCTTACCTCTCAGGAGACTCGAAGTGGCCGTATGTACAGGCCTCTCCTTGCAGTGCTTTGCCTTGCACCCAGCGGTGTCTATCACAGCTACTTGGCTGTGAAGCATACCTTCGAGGGTTATGCTGCTCCCGCAGGAGGGGAACCTGGCAGGAATCGTGGGCTAGCACCCCAGCGGCTGTACGGCTCTGAGTCCGCTCCATGTTTCAGCATTTCTAATTGTTGATAGTGCACTTGAATAGGCCTTCCTAGTACACTGTTAAGTTGGTCTTTGGCTAAGTTGGTTATACGTCTAAGAATCCAGGGGGCAAAGGAGAGGATGAGGGTGATAGAAACTAAAGGTCCTAAGAGGTGAAAGAGGTAGGGGAGAATTCCGTTGAGTCCACCCCAAAGGGGGTGTTCGGAAAGTTCTTTTCTTCTTTTTTCTAAGTCTTCTTGTAACTGTTTTATCTTGTCTCGGACGATGCCTGGTTTGTTGGCATAGAAGCAGCAGTGTTCCTGTAAAGCCAAACAGATACCTCCCTGTTCTGCAGTAAGTAAATCTAGACCTCGTCTGTTTTGAAGGACAACTTCTGCTAGGGAGTCTACTTGGTCTTGGATGTCACTAATGGTACTGGACAGAGCCTGGACATCATCAATTAGTTGTTTAGAGAGCTTTGTGTATGAATGGACTGCGACTCCCAATCCTGCAGTCCCTGTGGCAACTGCTCCAGAGAGGCCTAATCCAACTAATAAGGGTATGAATGTTAATGCTCTTTTTTGTTGCCCCGCAATATGGTCTAAGCTGGGAATGGGGACAGGCTCGTCTCCGGGGAGAACATCTATATCTGGTAGTAAGGTAGCCAAGACACATAGCCCGGTCCAGTTAGCGGGCAAGGCTGAAAAGGGCAGGTTGTTTCCACAAACGAATATTTGTCCATGACCTGGGCAAAGGGGGTTACTATAATTGGTTATGCTTCTACAACTAGTAAATTCTACAAAGCCAACGGGAATGTCGAAGCTATTATTTTGAGCTATGCCTTGTAAGCATGGGGAGGGTGGGAATATTGTAGGTTGGACTCTAAAAGGCAAACTAGGGTTACATTGTAGCTGTGATATATTAAGGGTGGATATATTGACAGGAATAGCTAAAGACATGGGGGTGCCTAGGCTCATACATAACCAGCAATCCTCGGCTAGGTGAGGGTTAGATACGTTAAGAGCTTGATGTGTGACTATTTAAATGTCAGCAGTTTGGGTATCTAGGTCTACTCCCCGCAGTTTGGAGAAAGCTAGTAATTCAGTGGGGGGTGGATATGGTTAAATCAGTGAATTTTTTAGCCACGGCCTTGATTTCTCGAATGAGAATTAAGGCTTCTTGAATGGAGGTTTTTTGGAGAAGGGGTTTTTGGTGGATTGTTGGTGGCTCGGGATTGTTTAGAATGGGGGCCAGAATACGGTGGCCGCAGGCGGTAGGTTTGACGGTGCATAGGGGGGCGGCCGAAAAGCTGGGAGATCTTTAAGTAAGGGGGCAGAAGAGAGAGGAGGCCAGTCAAGGTTATTGTAAGAAGCTGCCTCTTTTTCGAGTTCGGCCTCTTCTGCTGGGTTTAATTGGTCGACATGGTTATTTGAGGAATTACGGGAAGGGTTAGGGGGTTTTTTAATCTCTTCCTCTATGTTAATAGAAATTGAGGGGCAAATTGAGGGGGCCCTTGAAGGGGGCCGAGATTGATTTTTTGAAATTTCTTGTCCCTCTTTACAGAGATTTTGGGCCGAAGGGGCCCTCGAGGGGGACCAGGATTGATTTTTTAGAACTTCTTCTCCCTCTTTACAGAGGCTCTGGACATCCAGAGAATGCCCATGAGTGACTAAGATTTCTTTAATAAGATTAAAATAACTGAAGGCGGTGATAGGGGTCTGGGGGGCCAAAGACTCGATAATAGTCGTTAAGGCAATCTCCGACCCGGTTCCAACACTGCGGGTCAATCGTCCCCTCTTGGGGGAACCAGGGGCACATTTTGAATATAAAGTCAAAAAATAAAACTAAATCCTTTTTCTTAACTCGAGTTCCTCGCACCTTGAGAGTTTGCTTTAATTGACTTATAAAAATATCACTTTGTGAACATGCTTGTCCCATGATTGGGGGCCTTACCTGGCCGAGTTCGCCGTCGAGGGGGAGGGGCTCCCTGGATCTGTCTCGCGGTGAGTAGTCGCGGCGATCCAATCTGTGCGAAGTCACTGGCGGGGACGGCGCTTTGTTCCGGCGGCTATCGGGCCCCCACGTTGGGCGCCACTTGCTCCGGCCCGCGGAGCAGTCAACTGGGGCTCGACCACCTACCTAGAACAAATGAGTTGGGGGGACAAGAGGCGCGAAGAATGGCAGCAAGACAAAAGATTCTGATCAAGCTGCAAACTTTATTTTTCCGAACTGGGTATATATATGGGGGGGAGGGAGAGGAAGGAGATTAGGTTGCTTGCTATTGGCTAGCTTGAGACAAAGAAGGGCCCGCTTATTGTTTACTTGGGTGCAACTGGTACTCGTGGACACCTCATGTGCCTGTAGCCGATTGGCTTGGGGAGCGCGTGCACACCTCATTTACCTGTAGCCGATTGGCTTTGTGGAGCGCACAGGTTCCTGTAATCAATGCAATGTTTTTAGCTAGAAGCCAGGTGTAAGGTTCCCAACAGTTAGGTTCTCTCACAGCATAAGACGTTCTAACAGGCACATTAGCAAGGATTGGTGCTTCCATCTTTCAATAATGAAGCTCGTTATTTATCCAGAGCTTTGGGTTTACAAAGCATGTGCCTGCACAGAGCTGGCCATCTTGTCACCTCCCAGCAGGCCAGCAGGCCTTGCTTCACCAAGCTCCACTTTCTGCAGGAGGAACCTGGGATGAGACTCCCCTTTTCCTAGAGCTAGAGCTTCAGCCCAGGTTCGTCTCCAGATAAAAGCCTCACGTGGCGGCAGGAGTTTGCACAGAAGCCACCACAAAACATGGCGAGGAACATGAGGCAGACACGCACCCACCCCTGCATGCTTCCCTCTTAGCCTCAGATTCACAACCACAGGGCCTGGACGGCAAATCCCGAACCCCACGCCGCTGCTTCTGCTACAAGGGGAAATGTCCCCGCTGGAGATGTCTCGGGGGCAGTCAAGCGGCAGGTCATTTCGCCTTGTGGTTTCATTGATTTTATGATGCAGGAGTCTGTGATCTTGGTTGGAAATATTTCTACTTTAAAGAGAGAAACGCAGGGGACTCAGTCGTGTCTGTAGGCCAGTCACTCCCAAGGACCTTCTTAATTTAGTGGTTCCTCCCCTGCCACCCCCCACCCCCTCTTCTGTCAGCCTTCCCTGCTGCGGGAGGGGCTGGGTGGGGGGATGGATTTATGAGACCGGAGCTCCAGGGCCCACGTGGAGGAGTAAATTACAAGCGGCTGTACCTCCAGGACGGGGCAGCCTCCCTCGTCGTGGCGGCACTTCAAAGCGACCTGAAACCCCCCAGGAATAGCCGGGTTCCGAGGGCGCTGCGCAGCCCTCTGGGGCTCTGTCGCACATCTGTCCCTGTGCCCTCCCAGGTCTCCAGGCACCCCACCCCCTGCGCGCGCTGGGTTAGTTGGCCACGCCCCTCGGCCAAGGGAGACACTGAGGCCTGGGGAGGCGGAGCCAGCAGGCTTGGGCGGGGAACCAGCCCTCCGGAGGTCAGTCCGGAGCTGCGTCTTCCTGCCCTGCATGGACCCGAAGGGCCGGGACTGTGTTTGTCTGCCTTTCAATGCCTATTTCCAGCACCAAGTATGGCAATACAGCTGGAACTGAATACCTTTTTGTAGACAAAGGAGACAATTTTGCGGTCCTATCCTTGATGCCAAATTTGATTCAAGTCCACTTTAAATTTCCAATCCTTTAGGCCACAACGGGCAAAGAAGTTAAGCTGTTCACAGATGTTGGACAGTGTCCACACTGACTCCTCAGTAATGTGCAGGCCCCAAAATAAAAACCCTTGAGTAACATTGCAGGGCACTTTACAAAGCTCCTTTACTGACATCCTGCTGTTCATCTCTGTAACCCATGAGGCCGGTGTAACTACGCCAGTCTCAGATTATTAGAAAGCAGACACAGAGAGGCTGGATGATTTGCTAAGTTACACAGCTGATAAGTGACAAAGTCAGAACTCCAACCTGGGCGTTTTTGTTCTGAGTCTAGCATTCTTTCTGCCGAGTTGTCACTAGAGGTGTATTTTTGTCCCTGAGTGCTGAGGGGCCCTGGAGGGACTGCTGAAGAGGGAGGAAGCTGAAATCCAGGGTGAGAGATCCATGACTTTGCCTGGGGAGATGGGACCGCTGAAGTGAGGGTTGTCTCCATGTTTCTCTCATTTCCCGACCCCTAGTCTATGCCACACACTGTGCCAGGCACACACACCTGCTTCAGGAGGGACTGAAGCTTCGCGCCCTCCCTTTGGCAGACCCTCCAATGGCCCTGGGGAGGGGGTGCCCTCAGTTCATCACAAGGGGATGCCTGAAATGCCCTGAGCGCATGTGTAATGGAAACCTGAGAGAGGCTTTCTAGATTTGACACCACCCTTTAAAGAGTGCCTAACATCGTGAATAATGACTTCTGAAGCTGAATGATAAGCTCTCGATAATAAACTCCAAATTGTAATCAGTCATGATAAGGAAAGAGTGAATTATCGTTCTCTTCTGACTGTGGAAACTATTACAAAATCTTTGTCATGTTGATGTCCCAGTGACCCTCTTTGACTTCCACACTTCTCCTAGGAAAAGACGGGCCTTTCTTTATGTGGCTGTGTGTGCCGTGCTGGCCAGAGGGAAGCTTCTCGGGATTAAGACCCTTCTCCTGCCAGCTGCTCTGGAACCCAGGGCGGGTTTGCTCTCTCACCAAGTCAGCACTCAGGGAACAACTCAGCAGGGCCATGTTGGGCGTCTCTAATGTGCACCCCAGCCATTCCAGCTCTGGGGGGGGGCTCTGATCCTTAGGACTCTCTGGACATGGAGCTCAAATGGGGAGCAGGGTCTTATGCTGCATTTCTCAGGGGGTCTCTGTGTGCCTTTTGCCCCTCTCCCTGTAGCTGGGGCCAGGGAAACTGACTCTCACTCACCAGGTCTGTTTATGTCCTGAGTTACTTCACAGCCGTGGGTTTTGAGTTTCAAAATTCAAACGCCTTCTCTGCTCTTGACAGAAAAGTCCTTCCCTCCAACGGGGTGTGTGTGGCTGACCTTAAATGGCAGAAGGGTCAAGCAAGTAATAACAGAAATATCAGGGGAACAGAATGGCCAGTTCACATTGCACAACATTACCTTATTTCCAGCATCGCCATCATTATTTCTACATCTCAGGCTCCGTGAATAAACACTTTTCATATGTTATTAACATTCACAATACTTCTTTGACATATAGCCATAAGAATAATGACATTGGTACCCACCTCACAGATCGTTGGGAAGATTGAGTTAAAAGGTTTCAAATACTCAGGAAAATTTCTGGCAAAAAGCAAGTGTCATGTAAAATGTTAGCCATTGTTATTATTGTGATACTTTCTTGCAATATTTGTCTTTCCCTTTACACATATTATAAGGTAAGGACAATATTTTAAAAGTTTATTTCTGTAGCCCTGGCTGGTGTGGCTCAGTGGGTTATGCATCGTCCTGCAAACTGAAAAGTCACAGGTTCGATTCCTGGTCAGGGCACATGCCTGGGTTGTAGGCCAGGTCCCCCCACTACCCCACCCCTGGTGGAGGCCACCAACTGATGTTTCTCTCCCTCTCTTTCTCCCTTCCTTCCCCTCTCTCTAAAAATAAATAGAATCTTTAAAAAAAATAACAGTTTCTTTCTGTGTTTTCAATACATGCCAAGGGTCTGGCACATAGTAGGTATTTAGTGTATGTTGAATTTAATTGAATGAAAAAACTGTTGTGTTTTGTTCTCAGTCTCTTCGCAAAAAAAATCAGATTTGGAAAACAGGCTGACAGGGGCCAGAGGGGCAGGGGAGAGGGGCGGGGATTACAGGGGAAAAGGGCGAAGGGTTTGCAGGAACCATGATAAAGGACACGTGGGCAACAATAGGAGGGTCGGAAACTGGGGAGGGAGGGGAGAGGGGGAGGGGAGGCAGAAAACCGTACTTGAACAACAATAAAAAAAAATTTTTAAAAATCAGGCCCTGGCTGGTGTAGCTCAGTGGTTTGAGCACAGGCTGCAAACCAAAGGGTCGCCAACTCGATTCCCAGTCAGGGCACATGCCTAGGTTGCAGGCCAAGTCCCCAGTGGGGCCCACATGAGAGGCAACCACACATTGGGGTTTCTCTAACTCTCTTTCTCCTTCCCTTTCCCTCTCTCTAAAAGTAAATACATAAATAAAATCTTAAAAAAAATCAGATTTGGTGCAGTGAAGTCACTTCTCCCCACCTTCTACCCTCGCCCATCTCTTACAGAAGATTACATTTCTTATAATGTCGGACCTAGGAGCTCATCTGGTCTACCCCCAGTTTACAGAGGAGGGTTATGAGCCCCAGGAAGGGGAAGTGAAGTACCTGCGGCCACCTGGCTACTAGCAAAGGAAGGATTTATAATCCAGCAGACTGGGCAGGGGGTGGTGGTCAGTCACTTCTGTTGAGTGGCCTGTATCTAAGAACTAGAGCCGGCACTTCCCTGTGCTCATCACTCACTGACAACAGGAATACTCTCTGCTCCAGAGTGGGACGGGTACCGCCTATGATGCTAATAGGTCAGAGTTGAAAGCTCGGGTCCACCAATTGGCATTTGCCCACACGCGGATGAATTCGGCCTCACTTGCCTGTTTACAAACTGGGGACAATAACACAGAGCCTGTGGGTTTGTGAGGATTGGGTGAACGGATGTGTTAATGTTTACAACACACAACAGGAATGTTTGTTTCCTCCCCACCCCCTGCTCCGACAGCAAACCAAAGAAATAGAAGGTAGGACTCTTATTCTCCAGGAGATTATAATCAAAGACATAACCATAAGCTTTCCAAGAAGGAAGAAGCTTGAGCAGAGGTGAGCTAAAGGCAGCGTCAGTGGAGGGAAAGTTAATTGGGGGTGTGCCATGGAAGAGGCAATCCCGGTTTGGAGGGAGAGAGAAGATAGATTGCCAGCATGGAGCACAAGGCTTTTCCAGGGTGCTTCTCAGAGAGACCACCCGTGTAAAGCAGCCCTCCCTCCCTCTCTACCCCCTCAGCCGGCTTTGTTTATTCCCAGCAGTTACAGTGCTGACACTCTCATTTGTCTTTCTGGAATTGTCTGTGCCCCTACCTGGAATGTCTGCTCCCTGAGAGCAGCGACTTCATCTGTGTTGTGTTCAGTGCTCTCGCTGCTCTTCCTAGAACAATGTCTAGCACGTAATTAGCTGTTTGAAAACATATCTGTGAATGAATAAGGAGTGACAAGTTACAAAGGTAGGAACTGAGTTCTCCTGGGAAGAAAGGAATGATCCGACTGGGAAGAGTCTGTGTGTAAAATATGGAGAACTACAGTGGAAGGTACGAAGATAAGAAAGACCGAGATGTGATCGTTTCGAATGGCAGAAAGAGGGCCTGCGCTTGGAGCTGGTGGGCCCGCTTCCCTCTCTAGCAGGCCCACCCTCCTGACCTTTGGGCAGTTCTCATACCAGCTGGTGAGCCCCGAGAGACAGCCTCCACCCACTCAAGACTTCAGGTGCCCTTTACACGGGGATCATCTGTCGTCATAAGTAATTCTCAACTGCATGTGACTTCGCTGAGTGTTGTCAGTAAAGTGAGAGCATGAGAGCAAAGTGTTAGGAAGACTGACACTCAGAACCGGCAAAGAACACGGTTGAATTACCAAGCATCTTGTTTGTGTTGGAGGGTGAGGCAAACTCTAGGAGCCTTCACCCATAAAAACTGTCTGCAGTACTGAAAACATGCTTTATAAAAAACTCCCTGGTGACCAAGAATGTACCCTTCTAACGTGGGATGTGACTGAAAACATTTTGAAAACCTGAATTACCACTGGTTGCCTAGTTTCTCTGGTGTACAGCAGGGGGCACCATTGATACAAATTATATCAGTTACATACTGACTCCATCATTCTGATTACAGTCTCCTTGTGTTAACAGCTTTGCACGGACATTTGGCCCTGGTTCCTAACACTGGATAGTTAATGGATGTGCCAGGAGAAGAACATAACTTTCACAAATGGGCTGAAGGGAAACATTTTCCTGGTCGGCATCATATTGATGGCGACTGGTTCCCTTTTTGCAAAAATGTTTTCATCTTTTCCAGTTCTCACCATGCAAGATTGGCTCTTCTCCTGAAGAGGTTGTTTATGTTATACATCCCAAGGATCGACGTTTGGCATCCTGAGAATCCCTGTGTTAGAAGAACGTGAAGGTGTCCAAAATGGGGGAACCCAGGTCCCACCCACTGGCTCGAAGAAAATCTAGATGATTCTTCTGGGTCAAGCCCAATTCTCCCAAGAGTGAAGCTACTAGGAATGTAAGGGCAGTTGCTTAGAAAACTGTTCTCAGAGTTTCCCTGGAAGCAATACGCAATCATTTGAAGAAGAAAGCTGCATCCTGGAAATTCCAACAAGCGGGTACCTGAGCGTGTCTGAATGCCAGATGCCACAGGGATGTTCATCCACTTGGGGATGGGCAGTAGATTTGCATGTTTAAAAGCTCTGAGCTTTTTAGAAACCTCCAGCCCTTCACCCTCTCCTAAGCAACAAGCCTTCAAGACTAGCTCAACTCCACCAGATCCTTCCCGGAGCACCTGGGGACACCCAAGTCACCACATGGGTCAGGAAAGTACCACGATGTTGAAGACATGGAGATACTTTGAGCTTCACTGGAGTCTTGGACCTTTGAGGTCCTTGACAAACTTGCTTCTGGATCTTCTAGCAAAGAAGGGCAGGGGATTCTCAGGCAGTTCTGGTGTTCTTCATGGCTCAGGGACTCGAGACTGGGCAGCCAGGCTGACTCGGTGTCTCAGGACCAAGCCAAGGGAGCATCCAGGAAGTCCCTTCGGGTCCTTCAACTGCCTCCCCCTCCCTCTACACAACTCCAGCAGCTGGAGGTGCCAGAGAGAGGCTGGGAAACAAAGGTGGCTTTCACCCCAGAGCCACCTGAGAGGGGACAACTGTGGCGGGGTCTGCAGCCCTGAAGCAGGGAGCTGTCCTGTGACTTGGAGCTCAGAAATGTGTGAAATTTCTTTTTGCTGGGTATTCTACATCAAGCGGAACCTGTTCTCAGAGAAACATTCCATTTCACAGACCCTAATGGCTTTCCTCTGTGCTGATGCATTAATGAGACTCCGGCTCATTCTAATCAGAATGAAGCCATGCAGATAATTGCCTGAATTTTTAATTCAGGGTTATGATAGGGGAATCAAAGTCACACTGCAGTTGCTGAGGCTGCCTCTAGTTCCAGGCCATTGACTTTTGCAATTTTCTTTGATTTCCCCCCCTCCGTCTCTTTCTCCCCGCCCCCACTTCTCTCTGTCTCTCTGGGGCTTAGTGCAGACTGACAGTTTCGGGTTGGGGCAGAGTGGAGGAATAGGGACAGCCCTTGGGGTCTTCTGCAGTCTTTCTTTCTTCCTCCTCCTCCTCTTTTTCAATCTCCACCCCCCCCCCCATGAAAAAGTGGATGCGGCCTGCGCTGTCACCCAGCGCTGGTTCTGGGAGAGCGCCCCGCAACTGGCCTCCCCACTCAGGGTCTCCGTGGCCACCAGCAAAGACAGGAAATTTGCCCCAGGAGAGCATCTCCCTTGGCCATTTACTTCTCATTTCGTCTCAGTTGTTTGGGCCAAGGGACAAGAATGGAAAGGCCAAGGGTAAAGAAATCAGGTGGTCAGAGCAGCTCCGCGTCTTCCAACCCCCTGCAGAGGTGGTTTGCTCTAAATTAGTGTTGGGACCAAGGCAGGTGGGAGGCTGCAGGAATCCAGGCCTGGGGTCTTTCCTGAATTAACTTAATCTCCTGGCATAACAATCACTGAGTGCTAGAATTTTAAAGAATTTACAGAACTCAGAACTTACAGGAGGTAGAGAGAGGTGAATTCCAGCTGGTTGTATGATATGCCACCAACCAGCAAATGAGCCAGAACCCAGAGGCTGGTACGGAAGAGAGCTCTCTGACGTTGGCCAGTTTCCCCAGAGTATCCAGGACGTTGGAGTGATATAGAACTTGCTACGGTGAGAGTCAGACTTTCTGGCTCAGCTCCAACCAGGTAGGCTGGCTTTTCCAGGAGAGAGACTGTTTCAGGCAGGGAAATTGCTCCCAGCATCCTCCAGTGCTGGCTATAGTAACACTGTCATGAAAGTTTACACTTTAAAGCCTGTAGAATCAGCAGCACGATTCTTTTCCTCCTAGACTGGACTGCCGAATCACTGGGCACCCACCGTGTGGCCTCTGAGAGCAGGACTTATTTCCAAGTCTCTGGTTCTAGATAGGTTCAGGATTCTTACTTTCAAGAGAGAAGATAATTTGCTCCATGATTGAGCGTCTTCTAGGTAACCAAGGACTTTGTGCCATCGTTTTAATGAATCCTGACAAATGCCTCACGAAGAAGAGATGGCTGCCTCTACTTTTTGGATCAGGAAAATCGGGTTCACTGGAAAGAAACAGAAACTGTGCCACCTGCACCTCACCTTCCAGCCAAGTTCTCGTCTATGGAATCCAGAAGTCCCTTTAAAGTTGCGTGCTCAGGGCTTGGTCATGCCGCGGCTAATGCAGTCTTTCCAACGGCGGGCTGCAGCTTTCAGAACCGATAAGGAGCACTTACTTTTATTATGCTGGTGGAATTTGCCCTCCACGGGGCTTTTGTTTCCTCAATAAAATGCCACCTCATGCTTGAATAGCACCCCTCTCCCGAGAATGCCAAAGCAACTTTAAACATGTTCTGTAGTCATCGAAACAGTGAGGGATAAAGGGGAGAAAACTAGAACATTCCATCTCTTTTAGACCAGTGGACCTCATCTTGGCACTACAATAGTTTAAGATATCACAGAGTATTTCAGATGTTTGTGAACCTCTGTTGAACTTCTTATACAAAATCACTCTCCTGTTTCTTTTAATGAAAAAAGAAAAGAAAAAAAAGCATGTGTGTTGGGAAAAAACTGTAGGCAGAGTTAGGGTCTCATTTACTCAACCAGTCAGCAAATATTTAATGAGCACCTACTATGAGCACCTACTATGGGCACTGAGGATGCTGAGATAAAAGACTGAGTCCTGCCCTCCGGGAGGTCACAGGTTAGTGGGGTAGGTGGAGACCTACCCTGCAGGGTAAAGGCTGTGGCAGAGGGAAGTGCACTCTACTATGAACACTCAAAGGGAATCCTGAAATCCAGCTGAGAAGATGATGGGCAACTCCAGCAAAATCAAGGGGAAGGGCAAGTTCCTGAGCCCAGAGTGTAGAGCCACTCAGGGACCAAAGGCCCCATTCTAAACTTTGGTTCCATCCCATCTCAAGAGCCATCTTTTAGCTCCCTGGTGACCCAGATCCTGTTATTTTCAGCTCCAGGCCTGTGAACTTGGAGTTAATGATTAAACTGGGCATCAGCGCCATGGCTTCCTTGGGGTGAGCCTCGCTGCTCAGCCCTGGAAACTGCCAAGTGCCTGGCTCTGCTCCAGCCCAGGGGCAGACCCAACCCCCACACCCCAATGCAGCTCATTTTCCCAGTCGACTAGAGCCTCAGCCACCCCAGTTACCAAACCTCCTCCTAAGAACCTAAGGCACCGAACCTAAGGCACCGTAGTGCAGTAGAAAGGAGGGCGTGAAAGGCAATGGGAGTCTTGGGTACAAATCGGTTTTGTTACTAATTAGCTGGGTGACCTTGGGACAGTCTCCTCACCTTTTCTGGGCTTCAGGTTCCTCATCTGTAACAAAAGAAGTTTGGACCAGAACATGCCATGTTTTCGCACAGTTCCGTGCCTTTGCCTGAGACACACCTCTGCCCGGTGCACCCCTTCTGTCCCCTTTGCCTTCTCACTCGCTCCTCCGGATGCAGCTGAAGGGTCATGTCTTTGGAAAGCCTTCCCTACCCAGTCAGGTGCCCCTCCTTTAAGCTCCCCACCCCCCACTCTCTGTTTCCCTCCATCAAGACACTTATCCTATGGTTATTGTAGTCCCCGCCCCCATGAGCGTCCTGAAGACAGAAGCTGTAGTCCATCCTTTCCTGCGTCCCCAGTGCGTAATCCAGAGTCTGGCGTCAAGGTTCTGTTCAGGAATTTTCAGTTTCGTCCACTTAGAATCATTGTGATTATTGACATTGTCAACTTTTTTTTTTAAGTCACTGTCTATTGGGTTTTGACATTGTAAACTTACTTCTACCATTTTGTTTTGTGCTTTCTTTTTATTCTCTCTCTCTCTTTCTCTCTCTGTGTTTTACCAAATTGCTTCTATTTTCCTTTGTTTGGTGTGGAAAATTTTATATTTTATTTCCATTCCTATAGTGAGAACCCTCAAAATTTTAGCACAAATTCTTGTCTTAATGACTATGAAGTTAAGCAACATCTCTAACCTTCCCCCAACCTGAAATGTAAAAACCTTAAAGCCCTTTACTTTGTCCTGCCCAAATCCCTCTTGTGTCTTAGTGCTTTAGTTCTATTTTATTTTTATTTTTTAAAGATTTTATTTATTTATTTTTAGAGAGAGGAAGGGAGGAAGAAAGAGAGAAATATCAATGTGTGGCTGCCTCTCACATGGCCCCCACCAGGGACCTGGCCCACAACTCAGGCATGTGCCCTGACTGGGAATCTCACCAGCGACCCTCTGGTTTGCAGTCTGAGCTCAATCCACTGAACTACACCAGCCAGGCTTTATTTTATTTTTAAACCCACAAAACTACTCTTTTTAAAAATTGTACAGCCAATGACTTTTGAGATATAGCAGTATGCTACAATATACACTTTATTTTATTTTAGCTCCTATTGCTTCTTGAAATACCATTTCTTCCTTCTGGACTCAATTCTCTTCTTAAAGGGCATTATTTAGTGGTCCTTTCAGTGAGAGTTTGTGACAGATAAACGCTCTGTCTTCGCCTGAAAACATCATTATTTGGCCATCTCCCCTGAGCAACATGTTAGGTGTTTCTACAAAAGGGTTGGTCTTCCTGTGCCCTTTGAAGATCATTTCCACTGTGTTCTGCCCCGTTGGGCTGCTCATGAGAGGTCTTGTTTCAGTTTAACAGACATGTGTGTATAGAAAAAGGTGTTTCTACTTACCTCTAGTAGCTTTAAATGTTTGGTTTTTTGTGTATGTGTGTTTTGTTTTGTCTTCTGACTGTCAAATTTCAGCCACTTCCTAATGCTGATGTGTCTAAGTGCATGGTTGTGTTTATTTTCCCTGCATGGGACCCATATACCCCTTTAACCTGAGTACTGGTATCTGTTTTCCATTTTGGAAACCAGGGCCCATTCACTATTGGCATTTCTACCTTTTCTCCCGACTCTCTTTTTGCCTCCCGGTTACAAGTCTGTTGGGCCTTCCCACCCCGTATTCCCTGTCTCCTGACCTCTTTCCATAATGTGCCTCTCTTTACTCACCCATGTTTCATTTCAGGTGACTTCCTCAGGTGCATATTTCATGTCCCTACTTCTCTCTTCACTCCCAGCTTTGCTACATCTACCTAACACTAAGTTACGGTCTCAATGCTGTATTGTTGGTTTTTTTTTTAATTCCACTTTTTCACATTTCCTTTTTTTTTAGTGTCCCATTCTTGACCTATTACCTCTTAAATATTTTAAACACACATATGGAGTGGGTAAAAGTAGGTTTATTGCTGTGAGTGGGTACATAAAACTTGCTTTGGTCCATTCCTGTCAGAATGTTCTATTACCTGCCATTCTGGGGGCACTAAGTTTCCTACTTATAGTCTCTGCTAACTCACTCCGTTGGTGCTTCATTTTCTAGCATAGTTTAGTGTGAGCTCATCTTCAGTAGGGATTATTTTTTTGTGAAGTTTCACAGATACCTCTCGTTAGTCTCTAGGCTTTTACTGGTTTCAACTGGTTCTCATACTGCCCCACCTGAATTAAAATTTTTTTATGGTTGACAGTATTACAGATGTCCCCCAGCTCCTCCCCCCTTTTGCCCACCTCCACCCAGCCCCTGCCCACCTAACCCTGGTCTTCACCACAGCCACCTGAGCATTGTAAACTCGCACTCTACACAAGCATGTGGTGTGGGTTGAGGTTAAAATTTCTCATAGTCCCAGGTGTATATTAAGACTCCTTATACATTTTCTAGGCCGGTGAGTAGTTTTCCAGTTCCCATTCATGTACAGGGGAGCCCTTAGAATTCACTCTGCTTCCTCACCTCTCCCTGTCCTCCATTTCTCTTCAGCGTCTCCGTTTGGTACTGAAACCCAGCCTCCAGCACCCACAGCTCATCTCTGAATCCGAAACCATGTCAACCATCAAGACCTCAGCACTTAACCTGCTGCTCTAGCTTTGAACCCTTCTATTTATTTCTCTTACAAGCTCAACAATGTATTTGCTAATTTTTCTGTTCTACTGAATCCAGACTTTCTATGAATTTGTAGACAGACAAGGCCAGTTGGTCTCATTAACCAGAATTCTGCACAAATTTCATTCTGATGAATGCAAGAATAAATGACTGGATGAATGTTCCTTCAGGTTCTAAAGTCTATCGTTTCAATGTACTGAAAGGAGACTCTTAGCATCAGAAACAGAAGTTCAAAAACCCCATTCGTTCATGCTTCAATATCTCTCTGTAGACACAGGATCCAAGGATTCCAGCGGACACCTGAGTGCACCTAAACTAAGGTCCCCTCCCAGTTACCTTTGGCAGCAATGCCTAGCTTCATTGTTCAAACCGAAACAATTCCACTGGCCTAACTTGTGAAAGATTAGAATACCTAAGTAAAGAGCCCTGCAAGTAAAAGTTCCATGTATTGTAGTTTATCCCCAACAGTGCTAACCGTCAATGTGGAGGTCCCATATCCATAAGCTCTTCATGGGCATGAGAAATGCCCAAGGCTTACTCAAGGGAGATTGAAACATGGTCCCCAAAAAATTCTCATTCATGCCTGAGCAACTGAAGGAAATACTTTCTAGAACAAAGACTGGGAAATAATTGTCTACATTATAAAATTTCATCCATGCTGCCTTGAGACTGCCCAAGAGAAGGTTGCGTTCCTCCAACCCCGGCGTATGCTTGTCTTGCCCATAAGATCATCCCAGTTTGGTTCAATCTGACTGGTTGAGCTCTGACAGGTTGAGCTCTCGCTGGGGACCCTGCACCGAGCCACACCCTGAGGACACAGGGAAGAACAGGATGAAGCCCCCCCCTTACCCCCCTCCTACTAGTTTGGATGATATAAAGCATGTAAGGGAAACAGAATATTTTCTGTGATTTTTTTCATTTATTTTCATTTTTATTTTAATTTCCTATTTAGAATCTTTGACACTTCTCCCAAACAATTTCCTTCCTCCTACACAATGGCCACACCACACTTGTGTGGACCTTAGTTAGTCCACGGTAGTGTGTAAAGGGTGGGAGTGTCTCGGCCAGCCCCTCCCCATGAAATTCACTTTTCCTTTGGATCCATGCAAGCACAGAATTTTAGAACAAGTGAGCAAGGTCCTCCCCTTTCTCCTAAGGCCCAGGGCCCCTTCTCTGCACTTCTCTTGGGGCACTTGCCTCTTGTCACCCTCAGCAAACAACAGCTCTCTAATCTAGGGTTTCTCGGACTGCAATGCCCCACAAGTCATTCAGGGAGATTTTAAAACGCAGGTCCTGGTTGAGGAGGTCTGGAGTGGGGCCCGAGGTTCTACATTTCTAACAGGCTCCCAGATGATGTCTGAGCTGCTGGCCCACAGAACAGCCTTTGACTAGCAAGGGACCAATTCAAGGCAGCTACCTTGCTATGGACATGGGCTGTGCCAGGTGGAAGTCAGGAGTTGGAAAAGAACAACCAGATTTAAGAGAGAGACCCAGAGTCTCAAAGCTCAGAGCTCAGAAGGGATGGGGAAATGCTGTGTGATTATGGTGAAGATCTCTAGGTGCACGAGAAAAAGAAGAACCAGTCAGTTTCCTGGTTAATCATAGAAAACAAGTGTACTTCCTTGCAGGACAGTCATTTCCCTCTCTAGTGACTACCGCCAACAATACTTTCTCCTGAGTCTTCAAGAAAGACTGTAACGAGGCAGCCTTTGTCAGCCACTCTCACTCCTGAGCCCAGCAACCCCAGCCTCTCAGGCACCCCCAGTGCCCCTGCAGCCTTGGGGGTCAGAACTAGACCTGGTCATTTGATCAGATTACATTGCAGCCTCTCTGGTTTCTCCGTGCCTTTTAGAAATTGTCCTAGACAGGCTGTGGCTGCCTGAATTCTTAGCATGATATTGGGAAGAGGAGGAAATTGTGATGATAAAGGCTGGCCATCTGACTATTAGTTTTCATACCTGTAGTTGGTGTTGTTCTAGAGTGAGAGCCTCTTTACTTTGCTACTCTGACTCCAGAGACCCGTTGGGTTTTTTCTTAATGAGAGGGGAAAAAAAAAACCCTCTTTCCACTAATAATCTCATCTACATTTAATTACATTGCCCTGGGCATTTTTCTTTCACTGGCGATCAATGTGGCCTATAAACAGTGTCTAGGGCCCTCGGGCTGCAGTCACTTCCTGCAAGAGAAACTGAGGTGGGGTCCCCGAGCCAGCCCAGAGCTGGGAGGGTACCCAGAGTCTGCATGGCCCCCCCTGGGATGCATGCCAGATTTCACAGCAAGTTCCCCAAATGCTCTTAAAAATGCACTGGGAAAGAGCACAAGGAGGAGGAAATTCCTTGAAGGGGCCACTCAGATTTTGTTGCCCAGAAAGATACAAAGGGCCCAGCTCTCCAATTCCGTATATTGAATATTTCCTTTCTTAAAGATTAACAGGGGGAAATCAGCTAAACTGAGCAGAGTGCCACAAAGTCCACAGGCCCCAAGTGCGTGGTCAGAGGCAGAGCAGAGAAGTGTTGTAGCAACCCTCATCCCCGGTGAGGGCGGGGGAGGAGAGGGGATGGGGCGCTTTCAGAAACATGTGGGCTTTCAGAGAGGAAGCTTGACCTGAGCAGCTGCATGAATCAACACCCTAGTTTACAAATGAAGAAACCGAGGCCCACTGAAGAGGAAGGGGTGCCCCAAGTCACCATGAAAATACCCCCGGGGTATTTTAAATGCATTTAAAATACAGAGATGAATTCTTTTATTAAAATCTCCTTGGCAGAGTGTCACAGAGAACTTCAGAATTGATTTATGAAAGCTCAAAAACTGTGAAGAAAACTCAACCACCCTTAGCTTTCACTTCGACACTATTAAGATTCCCTGGATTCGTTTGAGGGAGGAAAAGCACCAAATTCGTGAAAACCGTGTGTAACCTGTAAGTCAGGGGTGGGCAAACTGCAGCCCATTGTTTCGTATATCCCACAAACTGAGGATAATGTGTACACTTCAGAAGGGTTAAAAAAAAAGAAGAAACAAAAAGAATATTTCATGATGCGAGGATTGCATGAAATTTAACTTTCGGTGTCCAGATATAAATTTTTGTTGGTGTACTGCCACCTTCATTTGTTTCCATGTTTCCTTTGGCTGCCCGTGCATTGCCATGGCCGAGTCCAGCCCCAAAGCCAAAACTATTTACCATTTTGCTCTTTAGAGAGAAAGAGTTTGCAAACCCTTCTTGTAGAGGCAAAGATTTGGAATAGGATTTTGGAAGTGATCTCAGGCTTTGCCATTTAAAGCTAAACACTTTCAAGGGGGATGTATCACTCATGAAGGAAAATCCCTGGTGGCCGACAGGGGCCTGTGGGTGGGGAGGGTAAGAATCATTCCTCGTGTGGACACAGTCAGAGCTACGGCTCCGTGGGCTTGTTTCCCTCACTTCTGCCCCTTCCCCACGTTCAGTAAACTGTGTTACCCTTGAAGGTCTCCCATGAGCCTCTTGGCTGGCCCCTTCCATATGTTCCTTTAAGATCATTATAGTTTCTATGTAGGTATCACAGATACACCTACAGTCTAAGACTCTTTGTCTGTTACAGGGTATCAGAAACCGGTGATCAGAAATGAGGGTATCCAATATAGAGACTTGTGCTTTAATCTAAGACCTGTTATTAACAGTGTCAGAAAACAGGAGGAAGGACGTTTATCCTTAAAGCCCCCAGAATGTCCTCTTCTGGGATGCAGTCCCTGACTCCCTTGGGAAGCCTGGGAGACAGCCACCCCGGAGGACTTTGAGCTGCGCTCACCTTTACAGTACAGCTAACATATTGCACTGTAAGTGTTACTTGTAGATTTATCTCCAGGAAGATAAGAACCAGAAGATAAAGTATTTCATCTCTGGATCCCCTAGGACCTTGGACCACACCCAGCACATAGAAGGTGTATGAGTTTACTAGGTTTTCTATAACAAAATATCACAGACTAAGAGCTTAAGCAACAGGAGTTTATTTTCCATGGTCCTGGAGGCTGGAAGTGCAAGACTGAGGTGGCAACAGGTTCCATTTCTCCTGAGGCCTCTCTCTTGTCGTGTAGGTGGTGGCCATCCCCCCATCTCTTCACACGTCTCTTCTCTGGGTGCACATACCCCTGGTGTCTCTTCTTCTAATAGGACACCAGCCATGTTGGATTAGGGCTCCACTCTTATCACCGAATTCAATCTTAATCACTTCTTTAAAGGCCTTATCTCCAAATGCAGTCCTACCCTGGTTAGGGCTTCAACAGGTGAATTTGGTGGGGTGTGTGTGTGTGTGTGTGTGTGTGCACAATTCAGTTTATAGCATTGGGTGCTGAATAAATTTTTTTTAAAGAAGGAAGGATGGATTCTGCATACTAAATTGTTTACAGAAGGCAGAGCATGATACAAATGTGAATATTATAATATCATGCAGTGGAGTAAACCATCTCCTTATTTAACTTCCTCTCTCCTGGAACAGAGTCACAAGCCGCTGAATACCACTTCTGTTGAGTTTCCTGCACTGAACAGGAGAAAGGAGACTTTGTTATTCTGGCCTCCCCGTGGGTACTGACCTTAAAGGAGTGGACATCCTCTTTAGCCCGATCTAGTCACAGTAAGTCTTTGAGGCCAGTAAGAAATATATGTTTTACATCATAACCTGGTACATATGTTTCATAAAACAATCCTATTATTCTGAAATACACTCTCATATTTTCAGCTATATTCTTTAAAAGTACATTTTTGTTTGTGAGCCAAAATATTGATTTATGACCCAATAATGGGCCAGGGTTGGAAAAACACTGCTATCCTCCTTAAAAAGAAAAGCAGGGAAGGGTTCTTTCCCTTCTTTTCCCAGTTATTAAATCTTTCACACAACTCTTCATATTTTACAGGGTTCTACAGACATCATCTTATTTCATTTTACAACAGTCCTGAGAAATACATTTTATAAATGAAGAACTTGGGAATGAAAAATACTAATTTTGCTTATGGTCATTCAGCCAGAATTCTACTGGGATTTGAACCCAGGTTCTCTGACTCAAATGGAAAATTCTTGCTGGGTGGTTTCATTATTGTCAAAAGGGGAAATTTTTTGCTCATTTTTATCATTCACATATTTGTGTTACTGTTCTAATTGGCTGTTCTCACCTTGCTAGAAAGTTTTAAACTTTTGGGTATTTTTGACTCCTGATTAGATGAACACAGTTTCAAAAAGTTTACAAAGCTTGGATAAAAATACTTATCTGACTATAAAAAAATAGAAATCAATTATATAATATTTGGTAAAATATAGAAGAGTTGACAAAATGAAGTCACCCAAAATCTGCATACACACAGAAAACCGTTGTACATACTTTGGATAGACCCTCTAAGGTTCTTTTCTTCTCCTGTACACAGCCCTGCTTCCAGCACTGACTTGTCACTGAACTTGATTTCATCACTGAACATTATCCTGGAAGGTCCTTTTCCATCGTATGTCCAACTCATACCGTCCAACAGCTGCAAAAGCGTGTCGTGACCCGAATGCACCACAATGTACTTAATTGTCCCCTGCCACTGGACACTTGTTTTGTTTCCAATTCTCATTGATAAATCAAACTTAAGAAAATAAATATTGAGCCCTGGCTGGTGTAGTTCAGTGGATTGAGCGTGGGCTGCAAACCAAAGGGTCACCAGTTTGATTCCCAGTCAGGGCACATGTCTGGGTTGCAGGCCAGGTCCCCAGTGGGGGACATGTGAGAAGCAACCAAACATTCATGTTTCTCTCCCTCTATTTCTCCCTCCCCTCCTTCACTCTAAAAATAAATAAATAAAATCTTTTTTTTTTTAAGAAAAGATATATTGACCTAAGTACTTTTCAATGTCCAAGTGATTTTTTATGGGTTAATTTTAACATTCACCAAGTCTCTTTTTGGAAATAAGAGCTACATGGCGACCCTCAATATTATTGAGTTCAACGTCTTTGATTTAGAAGTGTAAATGAGAACTTCAGAAGTACTCGTTGGGGCCGCAGAACATATAGGTGGATGACAGACTGAGCAGAGCCATAGAAACCACACCCTTGAACTTGAGAAATCAAGTTCAATCTGAGAACTTAGAAATGAAAAACAATTTAAGGAGGCGCTTGTTCAAGGGCTGTATTGCCACAAGTCATCACTCACATGCCCACCACGGCGGGAGTCTCTGTGGAAGGAGGCATCAGAGTTTGGGGAAAGGGAAGTGATTCGCCCCAAATCACACTGTGAGGTAACGCGAGAACCAGGGCCTGCATCCCAGCAAGCGATTCTCAATCCAGGGCTCTTTGAACCCTACCAGAGAGGTGCAGTATAAATCGTAAAGTATAAGTGAAAATTTGATTGTGCACCTGAACTTCACTCCTCCAAGTGGGAAAATATTACTTGTGCACTGAGGTTTACTGCCTGACTAAGTGGCATATAAAACCAGCAAAGCAGTAGCTTCAATGTATTATAGAAGTCGAGACTGGATGAGTGGGACAGCTTGCTTTTAACAGTTTGTATGAACTCTCCAAGGAAAGAACCAGAGATGTGGCGATTAGAGGAAGAGAGTTAATTATAAACATGAAACTCAAGCAGAAATGTCATGTTAGGCTTTCAGCCAGAAATAAACTTGTGAAGAGTCACATTTTAATATCAAATACTTGAGCCAAATTGGAGTATATACTTTAACAAACACGCAGAGAGTAAATATCTACCTTTGGTTGGTGTCTAACTACGCCTAGCCTAAATTTCATTACTCCATACTGTCCTGCAAATCCCTGCCTTCCAGCACAACACCCCACTAACTGCTGCACCTTGGCGCCTAAATCGCATCTTGCTGAATCGCGTTGCTACCATTACCAGTCCCCACACCCTCCTGCTGTCAGCTTTGAATCCAGTACAGGTTACCTGGCCCACCACGAAGTGAATTGCTATCAGCTTTCTAAGAAGGTGAATTGGCATTTATTTAAAGCCGCAAAAATATCAATAGTCTTGGGCCAAACGGTCTCACTCCTGGGACTCTTCCCCAAAAGAGAAGTCAAAAGGAGAAGACAGTCTGCCCAAGCCGCCCGTTGCAGTGGTATTTAGAACTATCTCAGTTAACAGCTGCCATTCGCGGAGGGATTCCTCTGACAGGTCTCGACAGGCTTCTGAGCCTCACAGCTGCTCCGTCACGCACGCAAGGCAGTAACCAGAGCGAGGTCACGTGGCTGGTAAGTGGCAGAACGAAGGTTTGAACGCAGGATTTTGTGACGGTTCCACTCATCCCTGGGATTGCTTGGGCCCAAGACCCCGGAGCAGTGAGTCTCAGGAACGAGCCCTGATGGGCTAGCTTCCACGGTAAGCACAAAGCTGGCTCAGCAGAGCGGAGAAAGCCTTCCTGAAATAACACAAAGGGAAAGAGGACTCCAACATCAGGGTACCGTGTGATCATAATTTTCATAAAAACATGTGTAAAAACTGAAAGCAGCCACAGAGAACAGTCAGGCTAGCATTTGTGGGGAGGGGAAAGGGTAGGTGCTTTATTCTATTTATATTTCCCTAAATGTTGTTATACCACCAAGCCTAAAAAAAACAAAACAAAACTGATTCGGCCACTGACTTGTGCTTAATGAATACACGTGGGTGTTTCTCTCTCTCTCTCTCTCTCTCTTACCTTTGAGTAACTTCTCTGGCCTGCTGTTTCTCTCTCAGTTTCATGATGCTACCACCTTGCTGAAACCACAGCTTCCCCTGGCAGTTGCTGCGTGCCCAAAAGGGAGTCACGGGAAGGTCTTTGGCTGTAGAGGTGAGAGGATGTTGGAATATGACATCACTATTCAAATGGCGAGGAGAGAGGGAGAGCACCAAACAAACTCATAGGCCCAGGAGAAAACCAGAGGGCTTTTATGGCTTTGTTTATGGGAAGTGTGCCTCACTGACCGAAAGGTCAGGAGCTGACGTGTCTCATGGCGCTGGAGCATTACATAAAATTACAAAAATAGAACCTTATTAAAGATTCATAGGTTCATGAAACACCCACTTGACTTATCCTTAGGGGTCTGGTGGCCACGATGGTGTCAGGCCCTGGAAAAAAGGAAGCACTCTAGCATCCTGAGCACCTGGAATGCCCTCCGCACTGTCCTAGGCCCTGCTAGGAAAAGAATGCTGAGCACTGATGTGCATTTGGTGCAGCTGCTCTTGTCTTCACTGATTTAATCCTATGGCAGATACCATCGATTTATCTTCTGTGTTACAGAGGAGGAGACTGAGGCTGCAAAGAGGTAAAAGAAAAAAATACTTGCTCTGCCCAGTCTGCCTACCACCAGCCACTGCAGCCTGCGGCCTCCCGCTCTACCACACTGCCCAGAGGCCCTTCATTCATTCTGATCAATGACCCTGTGTGTCCTCGAGCCCTGCCTCCCTCATGCGGAGGACACTGCTTTCCTCTGGTTCACAGGAAACGCTGCATCAGAGCTCCTGTCCCGTGTGATCAGATCTGAGTGAAAGCTCCCTGGGCTTCCAGCCTTTTCAGTAAAGGAAAGAGGCAACATGGCGTGTGGTGGAAAAGAATGTGGCCTTTGGAACGACATGGATCCAGCTTTGCATCCTGACAGCCGCCTTTCAGTAACTTGAGGGAATCACCGAATGTCTGTGAGCTTCGGTTTTCTCCCCCGTGGAACGGGGGCCCACGTGCAGGTGGTGAGGACCGGGGTCAGCACAGGGCACGGAGTGGGAGTGTTTCCCTTGGTTAACACTCTGTCCCCACTGATGCTAGAGGAACCTCCAATGGCCTGCTCCTCAGTGAGCCTGCTGTGGGAGAAAAGTCGGTCAGTGTCCTCAACGCTAAGACGCCCACTACCCGGGATGCACCTCCAGGCTGCTCCCTCCGACCGCTTCCTTCGCCTTCACAGGGACGCTACCAAGCTTTGCCCGGTCCATCCCCCAATGGGATTTCCCTTTCCTGGGATGGGCATTCTCTCCCTTTCCACTATGCACTTCCTCAACCTCTTAAAATCTTTACCTGAATCTCCATTGTGCCTAGTCGTTGATGTCCTTGATTCACCTCTCTTTCCAGACTCATTAGGTGCTATGTGCCTCACCTGTCTGTGCACACCTGTCTGCACCCAGAAAATTCCAGCACTGACCATATCTGCTTTCTCACCTTTTTTATCCCCTGTGGCCTGAGCCCTGTACCTAGCATACAGTTGGTGCAAAATAACTGTGTGATAAATGGGTAGACAAACGAGCAAACAAATGATTAGCCAGTAGAGTGCATGGCCTGAGCAGAGAGTGCATCACCCTACAAGCCTTTGCTGAGGACCTACTGTGAGCTGCGGGAGGAGGGACGCGGGCAGTTCTGTTAGGCTGTGGGAGGCAGGGCGGATCACGTGCAGCTTCTCTGTTACCTGCTTTACGTGCATGCTCTCATTGAATCCTCAAAAGAACCGTACACATGCACATGGGAGCCCCATTTTACAGATAAGACTGACTTGCTTCGTTACCCAGCTGGGTGAGGAGTCGAACCCAGGTCTCCCTGCCTCCGAAGCCGATGGCACCTCCTTACACTGGGAGACCCCTCCGCCCAGGGGTCAAGTGCACGGGCTCTGACGTTCACAGCTTGACTCGCCTGCTC